TCAATCGCTGTCATGCACGCCTGGAAGAAAATTAATGAACCCAAATCCCAGCAGGGCTTTGGCCAGGTTTAACAGAGATTTGAAAACATATGCACCTCAGGGAATTTCCTTGCAAGTTTCTGTGACAGCAAAAGGTGGCCAACGGTGTCTGTAGGGTCCAGCTGGGTGATCTTAGGCTTTTCTACCTCGAGGAGCATGGCCTGGGTGTGAGGAGACCAGGCAAGCCCCACAATGGATTCAAAGGGCTCCCTAAGACTGTAACACTGGGCCAGACTACTGCATAAAGCGAACGAAGGAGCATCTTGACAGCAGCATCTTTCTTTGAGAAGAGAATGGAAAAGTGTGTGTGTGCTTAGGATGAGACCATGAAAGGAGAAATGCAGACCTAAAACAGATCATTGTTTCCGGGGCAGAGCAGAGGCTGGAAGGGAGGAAGGGAGGGAGGAAGGTAGAAAGGAAAGGAGGAAGGAAGGGCAGAGAGTGGAAGGGAGGAAGGAAGGGAGAGAGGGTGGAAGGAAGGAAAAAAGGGCTTTAAATGCACCTGGATTTATGCTGTGGTCTGTAGAAACAAGCACTTTCTATTATTGAAAAGCAATTTTTAATTAAATTTTAGATTAAAAGCAAATGAGAAGAAAAATGAACCTGAATGTGGAGTTGGTGGGGAACCACTGTTAAGAATTATTTGTGGTGACTTTGAAAGTCTACTCCATCCCCTAGGAGCAAACATAGAGAAAGATAAACAGCAGACTTTCAGAGATAAACAGAAGGCTTCACTGGGGACAATAACATGTCATTTCAAAATTGCTACAGATACAAGTTAAATTCAGGTTATTAAAAGAGAAGTAAAAGCAGAATCCCAAAGTTTAAGTGAAAATATCAACAGGAACTCATGCTTTAGGTTTCTACTTCTGAAAATGGTGCCTGCCTGCAGTCTCAGCACTTGGAAAGTAGAGCCAGAAGGACTGGGGTGGGGGTCGGGGGATTGAGCTTGGTCTTCGTGAGGCTGTACCTCGAAAACAGTAAGACCAAAGTGTTGAGCTGTGGGGTGGTTCAGTGGGTAAGAACTGTGCACGCATGAGTTTGGAATCCCTGCACCCATGTAAAATGCCAGGGGCATGGCCATGCACCTGTAGCCTCAGCACTGGGGGTGGGGGCTGGAGACAGGTGATTGCTTTGTCTTGCTCCCCAGCCTCACAAATAGTGAGCACCAGCCAGGTTCAGTGAGCAACCCTGTCTAAAGGAAACGAGGCACTAACACAAATTAATAAATGAGTTAATTCATAATAATAGGTCCCCATGCTCTGGTTGCTGTGAACATTGAGATGGTGAGGACCCTCCTATCAAACTCCATCAAGGGCTTGTGAGGTCACTGGGGTGACACAGCAGCAGCCGTGGAGAGGCCTCCAATCCACGGCCCCACTCAGACAGTGTGAACACTGCAGAATAATGGCTGTGATAGACAGAAACACGTCTCTCGGGGGCATTGCAGTGGGCCTCAGACACAGGGAGCCAGGTCTCCTCTAGAAAGTGATGGGGTAAGAACTGGGCATGGGTGCCTTCTTCAGATGAGGCTTTGCACAAGCTCAGCAAGCTCTTTGTAACTTTATCTGGCAGAACCTGAGTAAACAATGTGAGAGAAATGAAACTTTGGGGAAATCACTGTTTTGTACCTGCTGTACAATAGCCAGGTGACAGTCAGGAGGGAAACCCCATGATAGAAGAACTGGACTGAACCATTGTCAACACAACATCCAAGGTAGAGGAACCAACCTCAGGCCTTGAAGGTGATGCGTCAGAAGGCCAGCTTAGTGTCAAGTAGCCATGACAAGGAGACATGCCAACTCTAACACAGAAAATTCTGTGAGATAAACAACTCCCTTTCTTTTCTAGCCATATGGAATGGAGAACAATTAAGAACTAAGGCCTTCTGGAATGAAAGGTTCTAACACAAGTTGGTTCTAATGTATGCAGACACACTGTAAGGACAGCGCCTCAGAGGATGGGAAAGCCAAGCAGAGGATGGGAAAGCCAAGCAGAGGATGGGGAGGCCAAGCAGAGGATGGGGAGGCCAAGCAGAGGAGTGGCGGCATTTTCTGTCCTCTCGGAGTCCCCCCTGTTTATGGGTAGATTGATATATGCTAGCTTTCCTTTGAAGGAAAGGAAATTTCATTTCCCACACTCCTCACAAAACCAGGAAGTCTTAGGAGTGGAGACGGGCTTGCCCAGGTTATAGAGGGCTAGTCAGGGGAGGACCCTGGAAGACAGAAGGGCTGTGGGAAGCTAGTAAGTCTTCAGCTGGCACAGGCCATAATGGGAATGGTCACCCTGCAAAAGAGGCCCAAGGGAGAGTCTGTGTCCTGAGGCTACGGCTGGGATCAGCACAGGCTCTGTGGGGACGAGCTCTGAAAGTGGCACACTGAGGCTGGAGGCTCCTTCTAATGAAGAGCTCATGCCATCAAGGCTGCAGAAGTCTGTCTTCTAAGCATTTATCCTGAAAAAGTCATCGAGGTTGGTTTTGCAACATCGGGGGCCTCTCCATCACTTTCCCTTAATGTCACTGTGTTGCAGAATATATATTAGACTCTAAAGGGCTTCTCTACCACAGCTAGTTCCCAAATTGAGACAGAGACCTTTCAGAGTTATAAAAGCTTTAAGGCACAGTAACTGGGCCTCTAAGCTGTTTTGCTATTTCCAAGCTGCACATCCCAAGTTACTTGCCATAATTGTTCCTGCCTGGGCTGCTTCTGTTCCATCAGGGCAGCCCTTGTGGCTATGCACTCCCACTATGCTATGTCCCTACTGTCCCGAGGCAACTTCCTTCTCTCCGGCTTCCCTTTCCTCTGCTTCCTCTCTCTCTCTTCCTCCCAGTGTCATGACCCCAAGCGCAGGAACCTAAGTTCTGCCTACTTCTCTTTTGCCTAGTTACAGGCTTCAGCAACTTTATTAGCCAATCAACTTTAAATTAGGTAGAGCAAGGTTTACATAACAAAGCCCAGTGTGTGGTTGGCGGCCATCTTGGGGGCTGATAATTACCACTAGAATACACAGTACCAGACCAATTCCCAACATCACTGGGAATATATTTTTCTAAATATAAATTTCCTGAATAAAAATAATTTGTTTGTTTCAGTCTCATGAGATGAAACAGTTCTGGAAAGAAAACCTATGTGTGGTATTAAAATTGGATACTTAATGGTGAAGATAGGACTGGAGAGATGGCACACTCAAAAAAGCCTTTGGTGCTCAAACACAAGGACCTGAGTTTTATCTCCCATGCCACCCCCTCACACAAAGCCAGGTGTGGTGTGCACATTAGTAGTTCCAGCAATGGGGAGGTGGAGAGAGGTGGATGGGGGGCATGAGCAGGTGGGGTGTGGGGGCAGGGTTGGGGCACGCTGGCCAGCCATTTCAACTACTTGGCAAATGCCAATCCAATGACAGAACCTGTCAAAACAAAATCAAATCAAACAGTGCCACACCCCACACTCAGCCCCTACACACCAGAGGCCGTCAAGAAGGCTCAGTGGGTGGAGACCCTGTGGCCAAGCCTGACAACCCAAGGTCCATCTGGGACACACATGGTAGGAGAGAGCTGACTCCCAAATGCACACAAATAAATAGATATTATAAAAATCAAGTCAAAAAAACAAAACAAGTTGGACAGCTCCTAATACAAACTGTTGGAGGTGGACCTAGGCCTCCACACACATGGCACACACACACACACACACACACACACACACACACACACACACACTCTTTCTCTCTCTCTCTAATACAGAGCTATACACGACTACACTGAAACAGTAAAGATGGCAAATTTATGTGTTATGCATTTTGCCACCATTAAATATGTAATAGGGATTGTCTGTGTTAAGTGGTGTGATATGTCAGAAATTGTACTACAGAAGAAAATGTGTAAATGTGGAAAAATAGGCAAAGAGCCAGATAGGCCGGGTCTGAAGTCAGCATTTGGCTGAATTGGGTTTGGCACTTACTTTTTGTTTGTTTTTGAGACAAGGTCTCGTGTATTCCAGGCTGACCTTAGACTTGCTGTGTTGCTGGAGTTGACTTTGAACTCTTGAGCCTCCTGCCTTCACCTCCCTGCTATGATCACAGGTATGGGCCACCACGCCCTGCTTTGAGTACATTTTTCTTTAAAGTGGGAGTGGCAGGCTAGGCTGGAAGGAAGAGTATTACAGCTTTGCTCTTGGACTAGGAAGATAGCCAGTGAAGTGCTTACCTTGCAGGCACAAGGATCCGAGTTCCACTTCCTAGCACTTGTGGAAAAGCCTGGTGTGTTGGCACACATCTGTAACTCCATTTCTGGGGAATCAAAGACAAGAACTCATTGGCCATCCAAACCAGCCCATCTGTGAGGCTCAGTAGATCTGTCTCCAAAAGTAAGGTAGAAATCGCTGGAGGAAGGACACCTGGGGCTGAGGTTGGCCTGTGGCCTCCACACTTATGTATCATGTGCACACACGTGCAAAGACGCTGTACACAGACACGTACAACAAGAGACAGGGACGGACAGACAGAGATAGAGATAGAGACAGACTAGTTAAGGTCAGGTGCTGGATTGAGGACGGCTCCGTGGTTAAGGGTACCAGCAGCTCTTCCAAAGGACCTGGTTCCCTGAACCCACATTGCAGCTCACAGCTGTTCGTAACTCAAGTCCCAGGGCAATCTAATGCGTTCTTCTAGCCACCATGAGCACAGCCTTCATGGTGTGCAGACAAAAACCCATACACATAAAAATTAAAACAAACCTCAGTGTCAGCAGACACCTTTTGCAAATGGGGAAACTGAGGCTAAGAGGTAGAGAGGGCTTGGAGGCTTGAGTCTCTTCCTGCCTGCCGAATTCAAGGCTGATATCTGGTCTGTGGTGTGCACATTCTAGGGAGTTTCCTTCTCCCCTCCCTCTGGTCTTGTGGAGTAGGGTAGTGGCTGTTGTGTAGACACGCTAACAATGCTGCGGCCTGTGCTATCTGTTGCAGGCTGTTGATGGAGAGGTGGGCGGATGACAGCCGGGACTGTGGTCATCACTGGGGGCATCTTGGCAACTGTGATTCTGCTCTGTATCATCGCTGTTCTGTGCTATTGTCGGCTTCAGGTACTACTCCCAAGGGGTGGGGAAGGGGATCTGGTTGGAATGGAATCTGAAGGGTGGCTTTGCAGAGAGAGCCCCCCAAAAACAGACAGGGCCAGCGTCCAGGATGGAGTGTAGGAGGGTATAGCCAGCTTCAGGGGAGATGCTCAGCAATGCGGCTGGGTATCTCTGTGCAGTTCAGTGGCCAGCTGCCCACTCTCTCAGTGCTGAGGCTACGGCTTAGAGACCGCCAAGGACTTAACCAGCGGCACACAGCCACCATTGAGGAGAGCAGCAGTGATAAGCACACTGCCTTCTGTCTCTGTCCCCACCTGAGCTTCAGATTCCCCAGGCCCCAGGCCTTCCTGAGAAGGGGGGAGCCTGTGTGCAAGATGCACCCAGTGCCTATAACTCAACTGTAGGATCTGAAATGGCTTATCCATCTCTGCCACTTTCACGTTTCTTAACTATCTATACCTCAGTTTACCCGCCTGCAAATTGGAAGTTAGAGTTACATTCCAGCTGTCTGGGCGAGATAGATAAGTGATGCATTGGAGGGACCTCAGCTACAAGTGGTCTTGGGTAGTTTCTGGTGGTGGTGGAACAGGTGGGGGTGACTGAGCAGGGCCACCTTGTACTCATGAGGGCCACCCTCCAGTCAACACTGGTGGACAATGCACTGTGGTCACCTGGCCCTCTACCCACAGTACTACTGCTGCAAGAAGGACGAATCCGAGGAGGACGAGGAAGAGCCCGACTTCGCAGTGCACTCACACTTGCCGCCCCTGCATTCCAACCGCAACCTTGTGTTGACCAACGGGCCTGCTCTCTACCCAGCTGCCACCACCTCTTTCAGCCAAAAATCCCCACAGGCCCGTGCCCTCTGCCGAAGCTGCTCCCACTACGAGCCGCCCAGCTTCTTCCTGCAGGAGCCAGACGACAGCGACTTTGAGGGTGTGCGCAACGGTGGAGGCCGAGTGGCTTACAGAAGCATCAGCCAGGAGGACGTGGAGCTGCCCCCCACAAGCTTCGGGGGCCTGCAGGCGCTCAACCCCAACCGCCTCTCTGCCATGCGTGAGGCCTTTTCCAGAAGCCGCAGCGTGAGCACCGACGTGTGACAGGCCTCCATCCTGCCCAGGCTCCCAGCCCTGGAGGGTCTTGAGATCATGGCAAGATCCCCATGGCACACCCTTGCCCAATGTCCAGACATCTGCTCAGCCAAGTCTTCCCTGTATCCCTGTCCTAGGGGCTCCAGGGATGGGGAACTCCCAGGCCTTCTACAGGGATAAAGCCCAATGAACCAGATGTAGCAGCTGGGGGTAGGGACCGCTGGCACGGGACGGGAGGCAGAGGACAAGAGGGTAAGGTGAGGCTATGTTGGGACACAGGGGCCAGGTCCTCTTTCCATGAAGTGAAATGTCAACCCCAGCAACTTGTCTGGCTCTGGTTTCGTGGTCTTAGCCTGTCACTCCCTCACCAGGCCTTGGGCTTCCTACCTGCTCAAGGGAGCATGGGCCTCACTGGCTGCCAGTGGCGCTCCAAGCGTAAACCTTCCTTAGAGACTGTGGACCAAATAAATATTCTGTCCCTTTCCCATCCCTCTTCCCACCGTCTCTCCATTCCATCCCCCAGCCTCTCTGTCTCACACTCCTAGGTGCCAAGCATCTGCCCCAAGCTGGAGATGCCTGTTGCCCTAGCCTCCTGAAGATGGACAAGTTTCCCTATAGAAGGGATCGGTTAGAAAACAGTGGTGTTCTTGGATGCTTGCTCTGCCCCGATCTGCTTTCTCTGGGAGAAGAGGCATAGGCACAGAGAACACAGCTCTGGGAGGGATGACACTAAAGCTTACACATCCGGCACTTATCCCTAAACCCAGTCACCCGGCAGACATCCAGTGAGGTTTCGGGGGCACTGGAGGTGGCTCAGCTATGCGCTAGGGGTCTGAGACTTCGACTTGCCATGACTTTTAGGCAGGCTACCCTATCCATGTGCTTGTCTCCCCGTACAAGCAGTTTGGGTATGGGGGGCTGGCTGCAGAAAACCCTTTGAACTCTGGCCCTCAGTGGGAGCTGAGATCCCTGGGGAGAAGCCGAGCTATAGACCATATACTTCCTGTTTCTTGCTTGGAATAAGGCCACAGGCCCAGCCAGGCAGGGCTTGTTGCCCCTGTGTGGAAGCCTCCTTTCTACCCATGCTGCTCCAAGTCCTCATCTGGCTGAGGAATTGGTGCCCCAAGCCCAGGACCCTAGCCATCAGGAGTACAGTTCTCTGCTCTGAAAGAGGCACCATTCTTGACAGCAGAGCCTCAAGAATCCTTTCCTCTTGGGGGCCTCTTTAATCCCCAGGCCCAGCCGTGGAGCTCCAGAGGGGAGAAGTGCCCCTGTGAAGGTGCCTTCCTATAGGACAGTGGCCACCCCCGAGCCAGATACCACAGCAGGGCCCTCCACCCTTTCTACAGGCAGCTGAACCATGCAAGTGAGGATCTGCTGTCTTTGGCATTCTGAAGTTTTTCTCCTTTTCTTTTTCCTGCCTCAGTCTGGTCTTGCTAACAGAATCCATCCTTAGAATCACAGAAATCCTCAGCCTACCCTTTTCCCATCTACTTCCTTTGTCCCATTCTGCCCCATGACATCTGTCCCTTGCATTGCTTGGGGTATGGGTGAGGTAGGGAGGGATTCTCTGGGCTGTTCTGTCTTTTCCTTCTACCCCCACTTTCTTTTTTACCTTCACTATCTCTGTATAGATCCATAGACATCTTCAAAGTGAATTAAGCATCCATCTCTACCACTCACTCAACACCGCCATGGGACCTGCCAGGGACCCACACAGCACCCTGAAAAGAGTAAAAGCCAATAAATTTGTTTTCCCACAGCATGGTGTGTGGCTGCTTATCCATCCAATTTACTGGGCACCTTCAGGCACAGACCCTCCCTGGAACAAGACAGAGTCCACCTCAAGCTGCTGAACTCCAGCTATACCCAGAGGGGCTGGGAGCAGCTCTCAGGTGGGGTTGGGGTGGGGAGGTATCAGAACAAGCCACCTTTGTTTTCCAGTGCCCTCAGTAGCTTTCATAATTAACCAATATGGAGAAGAGGCTGAATATGATGGGCTATGTTGCTTGAGGACAAGTGGCTGACTGTCCCTGAGCGTGCATCAGTGTAGCGGGTACTCACGATACCCACCTCAGAAACTAGCCACTGCTGGTGGCATGCTTGACGCAGAGCCTGGCATAGGTAGGTGCATAAGAAAGGAGCGTGGGATGAAGTGAGAGGAGGAGATAAGGAAGGGAAGGAGCCTGGAAGAGAGTGGAGGGACTCAGGTGTGGCAGAGGCCCCAGCTCTTGAGACACAAGGACACTGCTCTATCTGAGCCCAGCTGGTGAGCTAAAGTACAACCGTCTCCCAAATGGCTAACTTCTGTATTTGAGGGACTAAAATAAGATCTCCAGGGACAGCTGTTCTGATTCAGCCCTTGTGTACAGGCATACACAGAAGCAACAATGCCCTGGGCTGTGTCACTGCCTCAGTTTCCCCCCAAACCCTAAGCCCTTCAGGAACAGAGCCTTTTGGGCAGACTGACCCCAAAGCACAGGAGATAGCCACCAGGCTTCCTACTACTTGTCTCCAAAGGACTCCTCCAGGGTGCTGAGACTGACCGATGGTGGCCATCTCAGATTCAGCCCTGTCCTCCCTGCCCTCCTGGGCACTGTGTGTGCACATGTGCGTGGGGGTGCGTGTGTGGGGGTGCGTATGAGTGCTGTTTTCTTTTTCATTCTCTTTCACCCTCCCAGTAGCCCCTTGTATGTCTGCACCCACAAGAAGCCCCCTTGATGTGGGAAGCTAGGTACGTGGCCCTGAAGGTGGTCCTTGAGAGCAGTAGATGGCCTTACATGACACCTTGGTGGCCCTGTCCTGTATCTTCTAGCCTTCCTGTTCCCTCTGCTCCTCCAGCATCTCTACAGCCCTGAGTTCCATCCTGGCCATGAGCTCCAGACCCGGGTCAGCTTAAATGGCTGGAGATTCATGCCAGTTTCTACTTCAGCACTGTCCTGCTGCCCACAGTGTCTCTCCTTGTGCACTCCCTGCTCTTCTGGTTGCCTTTTGTCTACTTTCTATACCCGACTGCCTTTTTCCTATCCATCCTTGCACCTGCTGTCCAGCAAAGGACCCCACACAGCCTCAAAGCCCCTGAAACGCCCACCATTTCTTCCCAAAGTGACTGAAACCCCAGCGTGCTGCCATAAATACAGCCACTTTATTAAAATGCACCAGTGAGTAATGAGGATGCTGGCAGGGACACCACAGGAACAAGGGTCGTCCCTCCCGCCTAGCACAGGAACACCAGGAGGGGAGACACAGTGGCGCTAATGTCTTAGGAAGGGGTACCTTCAATAATTCAAGAAACAGGGCAGCCTGCACTCCTCAGATGACCCAAGGCCCCTCCTCACCCAAGGCAGCCAAAGAAGGGAGACTCTCTCCTTCCTAGGTCATCTGCAAGTCATCTTGAGAGAGTTCTGCCACCTCAGAGAAGGGCCTGGAAAATTGGGCAGGTACTGCCTACTCTGATTTCTGGACTCTGGGCCCTCTGGGGTGGACATAGACACAGGCTCCTGTCTTCCTGCAGCAGGATGGCTCCACCTGAGAAGGGGCCTGTAGGCACTGGAGGCTTTCTCCTGAGGCAGAGACAAGGCCACAGTCCCTTCTTGTCAGTTATGCTTCTGTGTCACATCTTCACAGCCCAAATGCCCTGGAGGGTGGGTGTCCAAAGAGAGCCCCAGGCTGGAGTGCTCATGTCTCAAGGCTACAGCACCAGCTAGGAATGAGGAGGCCTGCAGGAGCGACAGCAGGCTTTGCTGTAGTACCAGTGGCCACAGAGGTTCACTTTGATGGCCAGTGCGCAGTTGGTGCCCGGCTGGTCCTGGCAGCTATCATCTGGGGATGGGACACAGTACAAGAAGAAAGGATGAAATGCCAGAAGACTAAAGGAGAACAGCTCCCAGGGTTCCCAACTCTTGCCATATTATCTTCCCAAAGGCAGAATCTCACTAAGGGCAGCCCAGCAGACACACTATGAACGGGTAAGCAGAAAAACCCTGCAGGCTTTGTCCAGGGCCCAGCTACTATAGATCGCCAGTCCTGTGGCTCAGCTGCCCCTTTCCTAAACCAAATCCCTCTCCAGGAAAGTATGGATCTAAGTGATTTGATCTGATCACCTGAGGGATAAAACCCTAGGATTTGGGGGGTCTCCAATCCCCTCTAAAAGTCCAAACACCTCCAGGGCCCAGGAGTTCCTCTCTCTTTGTCTCAGTATTACCAAAGAATAATTCACCTTCTACAGTTGGCATCCACTTTGGAGACCAGATCTTGTTTGTCTGTCTTTCCAGGTTCCCAAGCCAGAGACCATGCCTGAGACCTCCCTGCCTCCTGGGAGTTAGTACCTAGTGTGCAGACCAGGTCATCTTGGTCCCTGGTCCCACAGCTTCCTCCACCACATTTCAGGTCAGAGCTTTTTCCAAGACATAGGTCTCTGCATGGGCTCCTTGAACCCCAGCTAGTCCTCCCTCTTCAGAGAAGACCTCTCCTGTAGGCACATCTGTGTCTCTCTAGCTGTTTCCCAACAGATGCCTGTCAGTCCTCTAGAACTTGGCTCTGCCCACAACTCCTCTAGCCAGTCCCTGCCCTGTGCCCAGCCTCTCCCTTCTCACCTGGGGGCTCTGTGGGACATGGCTGAAGGTCACAGGCTTGTCTGCCAACAGGCTTTACCAGAGGGTCACATCCGCGGACAATGTCGGTTCCCTGGTAACATCTCACGTCTCGCATCCTCACACCTACCCCACATGTCTTGGTGCACTGGTGTGGAACAGATAGACAGACAGACAAATAGGTGCATAACAAGGCTTTCCATAGCGACATAGATAGGAAATCTCGTTGCTCAGCACTCTCCTTTCCGCACCCTAGCCATCCACAGGCTGGCCAGGACACAGCAGCTCCTTAGAACCTAGGGCCTGAGCTGGGGTTGAGTAGAGGTAAGGGAGAGAAAGGCACTGTCTGGCTTCTCTGCCTCAGTTCTCCCAGCTTCACAGTGAGGGGGTGGCCCCTCCTGTGACCTGCTGGGTGTTCAGGTTCCATCTGTCCCAGATTAGTGACACAGAGAGTTTGCCATCGGCCAATCAATGCAACTTCCAGAGCCATCACTCTGAGTCCAGATGTTCCCCTCAGAAAGCCTGAGCTACCCAGAATACCAGGGACATCTGCTGACCCCAATTACCCTGCTATCCCCCTGCCAAGATCCTGCAGGCAGTGGTTCCCTGAAGTGGTGGCCCCACATCGCCCAGGCATGCCTGGGACCTGAGGTATGGGGAGGCCCCTGCCCCAGGCTCACCCCTAGTCTGGTTACCAGACACAGAGGAGCTGATGAAGGCTGGCAGAAGGCCACCCGCCTGCTCACCCGCCCTGAGAAGAGAGGCTGGCTTGGCACAGGCACAGAGGACACTCTGCCTTTGCAGATGCCCCTGAAGTTATTAAGTGGACTCCTGAGAGGTCCTGGTACCTGCTGCTCTGTCCCTGGAGAGTGCATGGAACACAACATTAGGATAAACAAACACTGAGCTGATGTGTCATGAGGGGGCGGCCACAGAGAAGGGCACTGTCCCAGCCAGGGCCTCAAAGGACAGATTCCCACATGTCTACCACTTGTATGTTCCAGGCTGCTCCTGCTAGCTCCTCAGGGCAATATGGGAAGCACCCCTCCCTCTTGGCTGCTTTGGGGATCCTCCTTATTCCTTCTCCTTCCCAACCATTGTCCCACACAGTCCCAGACTTACTAGGTTCTGGCTACACAGCTACCCTGAGACCAGTGTTCTTCTTAAAGTACGTGAGTTGTTGGGTGCCCTAGACCACAGCCAGACCTCCAGATATGCTCAGCCAGTTCAGAGAAGACCTTCATTCCAGAGACACCTGTGTGTGTCTCTCTGCCTGCTTCCCCTAAGGATGCTTGCTGGCCCTCAAGCTCTGCCATGCACCCTCTAGGCAATCACAGCCCTACTTCCCTTCCTTCTTAACTTGGGGATGCTATTCATTAATGGGCACTATAGTGTGTGTGTGTGTGTGTGTGTGTGTGTGTGTGTGTGTGTGTGTGTGTACAGAAGAATCCTAGAGCTGAGACAGGCAGCTGCTGGAGCCTCACCCCACAGAGCCCTTGGACTTTCAAGTCTTGGACTTGTAGCCAACTCATCCCAGCAGCTGAGCCTAGGGAGGACCTACATGTTAGGATCTTGAACATTATAGAACTCCACATTGTCCCTAAGCATTCAGAGTTAACCCAAAGCCACAGGCAGCTGGAGACCCTGGGTTGTCCAGCCTGGCCACATGAGTCCTTTCCTCAGCCTGCCCAGGAATGCTTAAAAATGGCTCTGAGTTCCTCATGTCCTTACACAGGACAGACTGTCCCTTGCTATGGGCAGACATGGAGGAGGAAATAATATGCAGATGTTGATGTGAATTAATAAAAGCTGTCATCTAGGTGTGACTGCCTCTGTGATGTTATGACGGCTTGGGGTGCTGACAAGCCCCAAGGACTCCAAGGCAGGGTGAAGAGCACCTGAGGTTCAGTCACTGCTCTGCCAATCAGAGACTACACAGGGAGCCCCTCCCACCCTGCTACTCACTTCCTCTCTGCCTGCTAATCACTAGCCTGTGAGCTGAGGCTACTCACACCTCAGGCTCCCTGCCCTGGGCTCCTGGGCCTCATGTCTAACACACTTCAAACTCTGCCCCCAGGTTGGAAAGCTCTCTCAGCTTCAGTTTCTTTCTCTTCATAAGTGCTAATTGGAAAAGAGATCTGGGGACAAGTGCTGGGCCACAG